ATTCCAAGCTTTAACTTGTTGTTAAACAAATGTTTAAACAACTCTAATTATTCAATGAATTATTTATTTTACAGCACACAATTTCTATTTATTCTCTAATATTCAATTCACTTTGAGTATCAGGTTCATTTAAAATTGTTTTATGCCATTATATTAAATTACCTGTTTTGACAGTGTTCAGCAAGAGGAGAAATGAGCAACTTTTGTGTTACATACATAACCTTTATGTTCATTAAGATATTTCAAATTATGTTTTTTTGTTGCATTCACACCTACTTTGATATATACCTTTTTTATTTTTAGTACTAAGAAATATTGTTTTAATTTTATTAAATGGTTTTAAAATAGGAATAAAATTGTTTCTGAATACACTGGTGATTTGGCTAGTTATACCTTGTATATATGGTAATATTACTATACTATTAATTTTATTATAGACACCGTTTAATCTAGTACATTGCTCGATAAAAATTGAACTGTGCTTTTTTTTTTATTCCATGTTCAATGATGTCAACATAATAACCTCTGTTGTTAGCAATGTTTTTTATATACTTCAATTTGTTTTTCAAAATTAGAAGAACCAGGACAAATTTTAAATACTCTGTCTACATAAGTATAAAAAAAGCTGCTAGTTTTTTGAGAAAGTAGGTGACGTGATCTTCCATGTGGCAGCATGGAGACTGAATATGGTTTCTGATAAACAGTTGTGGAAATAGTTCCATTATTATTTCCTTTAACAACTACATCTAAAAAAAAGTAAATAATTATCTTGTTCAATCTCATGTGAACTCAATAGATTTAGAAGGATCAACATTGTTTAGATAATGAGCTTTATTGTGCATTTTAAATATTGATCTTATTTTTAATTTTGTAATTTATTGCACACATTGCTGTAATTGAATCTTCAATACAAAATATTAGAAATTTCTATGTTTTTGCTACTTTTTTTTCACAAATTCCAGGTTTTAATTCATATGTGGAAGTGAGTGTGCATCTAATTTTTCAAAGTTGTAACTAACTCAAGTTCTGGTGATGAAACAAGCCACTACACTGGTATTGTAACCTGCTAGTGGTTACAGATTGGTTGTATAGCACTCGTTTGATACTTTTAAACAGATAAAATGTCAGAACTTTAAGGCTTTATTTGACTAGTGTTGGGAGTATATAAAAGTTGAATGTACCAGCTCTGTTGGAAAGCATAATTTGTATTTATTAAAATATATATATTTAAGTTAATAAGCTACACGATCAACACACAAGTTATAGTTTACTTGTATAAAAAAAATAAACTGCCAAGCAAAAATTAATCAATGCTAGGGAATATAACTGTTATAATGTAAATTGTTCTGTAAGGTTAACCAGCTACGGGCATGATCTTGTATAAAGACATGTCTTAAAATTTATTATACTTTCTATGTAGTTGTTGATATTGTTTAGTATAATAGGTGGAACAGGCTTGAAACATTGCTACGTATTTATTATTTTGAAAAGGCTATACATAAACATAAAACACTTCACAGGGAACTTTTAACTAGAGACAAAATTTAATATAAATCAGTGTTAAAGTACACTAATTCCAGAAACAACAACAGCATTAAAGAAAGGTGTTTCTTATTTAGCTTAAGGTCTGAAATATGTTCAAATTCTAATTAAAATGCTGTATTTACTATACATTTATATAGACAGAATATTTCTCTTATTCAAACAAATCAGTTCATTTTTCCCATAATTTTACAAATTTAAAAAGATTATAATTTTTATTTGTGAAAACAAAATTCAACCATAAATAAACAGAAATGAGGTAAAATAAATGTAAATCTTTGGTAAATATGATAAAATCATTTGCCAAGTGCTATAGGGAAATAACTGCTAGAAACCACTTTCTAAAATCTTATAAGGAAGAGTTATTTTAGACTAATTAATTCCATAAAATCCTTCCCAGATGTTAAAATGATCCTAAATTAATTAAAAACTATAACGAAAAAAAAATTATAATAGGCCGACAGTCTCTTCAATTAAAACAATCTTTTTTTACTTGTGATAATATTAATCAATATTAATATTGGTTTGAAAAACGTTATTAGAATCCAGTACCAGCTTAGAATGATAACTTTGCCCTTACGCACCAACTTGGATCCATAACTTAAATATTCATGGATCATATTCTGTTAAACGGTCTAAAACAGAACTTAATTAGGTTGTTGTTTATTTGCTAAACATCTAATATTGTTTAATTTATTCCCCAAAAAAAAGATGCATGCACGAATATCAAAACATTCATATTGTAATGAAATTGTCACAAGATTTAATTACAGAGAAAAGCAAATTATATATATATATCTATAAATATTACATGTGACACATAAGAATAACCATTTTTATCCTACTTCTATGAGAGAAACTGTCTACACCTCGTTGGTTCCCATTACTGAAGTTTGCTTTTTATAAATAAAAAGCAATAAGTAAAGGTGCTCTCTTCTAAGTCTTGCTTCACCTGTAAGATCCAAAAATTTCTCTCTCTTTGCATTTGGTAGAACCTTCCCTAGGTCAAAGAGACTGGAATTAGCCTGTAACATCGCATTGCAATGGACAGAATAAACCACCATAGACGTCTGGCAGAGGCAAATCGCACCATTAGAAGCCTCCAGAATCCCAGGAGGAAGATAAGATTTGCCAGCTGACTGTATAGATACAACCTGTGAATGATGCACAGTAGCACTTAACAGGGGCACACAGTAAGTCACAATTACTGCCTACAACTCTTAATATTGGTAGATTCTGTGCAGTTTTTATAGCCAATACCTATTGAGTGTTCTGCAGCAGAAACACAAGAAATACTCTTCAAAATAAAATTGAGTTTTAAACAGACATAGGAAAGTTTTGTTGAAAATTTATATTAATATGTTTTACTTAATTGTACTTAAAATTTTAGGAACTTAGCAACAGAAATTATTTACTAAAGATGTTTTGTGATTCAGTTAATCTTCATTTATGATAAAAATCATGTATACTAATGTCTAAAAGTGTGATACATAAACACAAGTGCAGTAATCTGGTCATTGTAATTTTGTTTTAAATAACTTAAAACTAAGCTTGCAAGTAAAATGTTGATTTTCTCAATAACTAGACTTACTAAGTAAAATGATGAACATTCACACTACATATACAATTGTTACATACAAAGTTTCAATCTTTTAGATTGAATTAAAATTGTAAAATATCGTCATCAAATGTTTGCTTGTGAAGAGAGATGTTCAATTGTTTAATTTTCATTATATTTAATACCTGCCACTATAAAATATTTCATGATTATTTAATTTTGTCTTTGTTACTTCTACTATTATGTTAGATATACTAAATGTGAAAAAGTTTAATAACATATAAGAACACAATCTTCAATCATTCAAGTTATGGTCACTAAAATAGTTATAATTTGTTGTCAAAACAAGCGATCATGTGCAAATCTTACCTTTTAAGATTTCGTCTAGCAGCTGGAAGTGTGGATGGGTCCTCCTTTAAAAGGAATTTTCTGGATCCCAGAACATAATCTTCAAAATATTTTGGCCAGTCAAGACTTTTGATGGAAAAGTCAAAAATCTAATAACAAAATTAAGTTTATACACATTACCAGCCCAAAGATATCTCTTAAAGAACACTGTTGATGAGAACACAACCAAGAGCTGACTTATGAGAAGTGAGTATATACATTTTCTAGCTTATCAAGTTTATTTAAGTACAATCTATTACTTAAAAATTAAGATCCTAATAACTTAATTCACTTCTATTACCTCTATTATTACATTAAGCTATATTTCATGCCACGTGCTTTGATATTCAATCAACATTAAAAATTTTCTTAATCTCAGTGTTTCAATTTGAAGGTTTTTGAAATAACAAACAATGTGATTTTATATATAAATTAAGACTTTTTTTTTTCTGCTCAAAAGTGTCCCATTTTATAATATTTTGTAATAACTTTGTTGATGACAATAAATTGTATTTTGCTCATTCTAAGTACTTAATGCAAAATTCAACTCACCTCTCTGTCCTTTCCGACTAGTTGTTTGTATAAAGTCTGAACATTGCTACTATGGAATGTCCACTCGTGAGTTGTAAAGTACTCTAAGCAGTTTACAGCTCGGTTGAGACGAGAATACAGTTGTACCATTCTAAAACAGAGCCCAAGATTTTTTTCACTGATGAAAAAAAGCTATTTTTGATTACATCTGTAATTTCTAAAAAGTATAACTGGGAGAGAAACAACTGCAGGTTTGGGAATTTTGAAAGGAATATAATGCATTCATTTTAGTAAAAGAAAACTAGTAGAAACATATTCTCCACTAAATTGAGTATCTGCTCTTCTGACTGGAAAGATGAACAGCTTCAAAGTTTAGTGTATAAAAAGAAACGTTATACTAGACAGACTTTTCAGGCTCAAGTTATATGTCATGTTTCATAATATGATACATCCTAACATAGATTTAGGTGTGTTATGACAGGTGTCACAGCTTGTAATGGAAGTTTCATAGTCTAAAGTGAGCTAAATTATTTTACTTCAGATAGACAAACATCATTTCAACACATAAATCATTGATTTAAATGTTAATAATGTCTGCTACTAAATAATTTAATTGAAATTGGTTCAACCAGTTCCTCACAACAACTTGTGATGCCAGATAAACAGATAAAATTATCTATATAAATAGCATTCACCTCACAATTTCACTTATGCACTTCTTATGTTCTGTACAGTGTAACAAACACTGAAAATTTTCATCAGTTATAACCAATACTGACAAACAACTCTTGGCTTTCATTAATGAATGATATGACTAGTGTTATTTTACTGATATTCTTCTCTAGTCTATGCATGCAACATAAATGTCAGCCTCAATTACTGAACTATAAAAACTAATGATTACTTCTTTGTATGGAGAAAGCAAGACATAGTGATCCAACCTCTCAATAATATTCTATGCTTTAGCAGCACAAACTTATTCATGTGTTTGGGATCTGAACCAAAGCTTCAAGGACATGCCGGTTTAATTTCCTCAGTCGTGTGCTTGGAGGTTTGGTCTAGGTTTAAAGGGCACGTTAACCCAACCTTTTGAGTAAAGTGTTTAGTGGCTTAGTCAAGGCTTCAAAGACATGTTGATTCAATTTCCTCGGTCATGTGCTTAGAGGTTTAGTCTAGGTTTAAAAGGCATATTAATCCAATCCTTTCAGTCACATGGTAATACAATCTCTTCTATAATGTCTTTATTAGCGAAGTTGATGCTTGAGACAGGTACAATTCCAACTTCCTCTCTTGTGTGTTTAATGGCTTAGCTTAGACTTCAAAGGTTTTATTAATCCAAACTCTTTAGTTGTGTTTCACGTGTAATATTTATTTGATGTGTTTTACTAAAACAGTTACTTCTTACCTGTAGTTTTAAAGACAGATATATTGTCAAATATCGTTATATTCTTATCTAATCTTTTATTTTTCTTCTTCCAACAGAAGAATATACATGTTAACACATTTAAAGCAATAGATGTAAGTTATAAATTACCTTTAAGCATTTACAGCTCCATATGGAAGTAATTTATAGCTTTATAAATACAGAACTCTAAACTTAAGAAGAATATACATGTTAACACATTTAAAGCAATAGATGTAAGTTATAAATTACCTTTAAGCATTTACAGCTCCATATGGAAGTAATTTATAGCTTTATAAATACAGAACTCTAAACTTAAGAAGAATAAACTTAAGAAGAATATACATGTTAACACATTTAAAGCAATAGATGTAAGTTATAAATTACCTTTAAGCATTTACAGCTCCATATGGAAGTAATTTATAGCTTTATAAATACAGAACTCTAAACTTAAGAAGAATATACATGTTAACACATTTAAAGCAATAGATGTAAGTTATAAATTACCTTTAAGCATTTACAACTCCATATGGAAGTAATTTATAGCTTTATAAATACAGAACTCTAAACTTAAGCTCGATATTATTTCATACGTTTGAAAAATCATTACCACAGTAATGTGTATGTGTGTGTGTATATATATGTATATATATGTATTTACATACACGCATGGGTGACTTTCAAATGTTCCAATTCAAGAATTCAAAATAAGTTCCATATGATTTCACACAGTGTTAAACTTCAGTTTCATAAGACTTCACATCACAATAATAATATGATTACTGAACTGAAAGAAATAGTAGCAAACTGTATTTAGTATCATTAGAAACAGAATTTAGTGCTTTATAATATAACCAAAATCTGCTTACTGCTCTGCACTACCAGAGGCTGGCATTTTTCACCATGCCCATGAGCCATTAAATATACGTGATTTCAAAACATTTCTTTCATTTTGGTTAGTACTGCATGATATCAATATGTCATCACTCTGAGATTTCCTAAATTGTGAACAAAAATTACTTGTATAGTGTAACATATCTTCAAGTTAAAATGATTATCTCACACAAATTAATGACATTACGAGTAAATATTTTGTAATTTGTGAGATTTGACAGCATTCCAGTTCTTCATGGCTATTAAACTGTTTTTACTCACCAACAAAGGTTTTGCAAAAAGGCACTATAACAGTTTAAACAGTAATATGAAAAAAAAACAACTAAACAGTGTATCAAGTCAAGTTGTTGTCACAGAAAAGACAGGGAACCAAATAATGAAATACAACACAACTTACACATACTCTCATATATATGGCAATTAACTCATAAAAAAACACAAAAGGAAAAAAAAAGTATATGTAGGAAAACATTCATTTCAGCTCCTTATTTCAACCAAGCAGGCCATGCTGTCCTGTGCTAAATTAATATCCAATTATGATGCTAATGAGTAATGAGAATTTTATGAACAAAAAATGGTTTAAGACATACCTTTCTAGTCCAGGGCTGCAGTGGTTAGGAAATAATGAGCACACATTATAAACAAGTTGAAGAAAACGTGTAAACCCTACAACCCAGAGAGCATTCTAACACACAAAGAATGTTTCCCCAACATCACTGTTTAACAAAAGAGTTATCAAGAAGGAAAAACAATTAATGTAAATATTCCAACATCACTTAATTAGAGAAGAGAGAGAGAGAGAATGTTGCACTAATATGAGTGAGTAAATAGTTTTAATATTTAATCAAACACAGATATAATTAAACAAACGAGACATTTTTTTAGTCTTCCTGAATCATTGTAAGTGAATGGATACTAACAATTAACTGGACCACAGAAAGATTTAAGGATTAGTAAAGGGGATATAGTTTGTACTTTAATCAGCATATCAAGTTTCTAAAGTTATAATTCTTGATATATTGAAACAACATTTGTACACAAAGTTAGTGTTAACAAATAGACTTTGTTAGCTTTAAATTTATTATAATTTTCTTAAAGTTAAACCTCGCATATTACAACTGAATCCTGACAGAAAATTGCAAGGAAGAGTGTTTCTTCACTAAATATCTTAACAAAGATTTTTGTCAAAGATCACTTATTATCATTGTACACCAGAGTATCAGAGATTCATTTTATAACCAAAAGGCTACTTTCTATATAAAAGCTAATCACAGATTAAAAATCATATTCAATGCCTTGGTTTCCTATATTGTTTTGTACAGTTTTTGAGACAACTTCTTCATTACCTCACTGCAAAATTAAAAATTACTTGTGAATTTTAATGATGTTGAAATTTCAATAAATGTTATTTCACCTAATCTAAACCAAATAAATATTTCACAAAAAAGTAACTAACTAGGTATGCCACAATCTTTAAAATGTGATATTTAAAGTTTTCTAACTTAATTTATTAAAAGAAATCACATTACTTAGTATTCTATTAAGTCCTTGTTATATTAATTAAGATGCTCAATTATTTGAAACAAGCTTTTCAGATTTGGATGCAGAGAACAGGTAGTGTTTAACACACATGACTAGAGAGTATGATCAACAGAAACACAGCATTAATAAACAAATTTGAATTGACTTAGAGTGGTGCCATAGTAAGGACTGGAAACAAAGGATAAACGATACAGACTGTTATTGAATATTCCTGATAACACCTACAATCATCTACATTCATACAGGTTTATCTAACATGGACATAGACCATAGAAAATGTCAGTTTGTCAAATAGAAGAGCATTTTTCAAGGACAACTTCTACTGTGAAAAGTCAATTTTTCAATCATAGTGCTTCAACAACCTCAGTTATGTATTATCAAAAACTAACTACTATTATGCTTATAAAGTCATTGTTTGCCAACTTATTATATTAGCATTATATGCTTCTTTATTTAAGCACTAACTATTATAAACAATATGTTTTGGTACACCTAATGTTAACCCTAGAACACCAGTGTGGGGTCACTATGACCACATACTACTTGGTGTTAATGACTGAAAATGTAATGCTGGCATTCCAGGGTTAATGAAATTACATTACACTAGCTTACAATTTTACTATAATTTCACAATTGTAAATTATTTTACAAAACACAGTGTTTCCATAATAAAAACTGACTTCCTATTTGGAGTTCAAGTAACTTATTAATACTTAGTTTTGTGAAGAAAATACTAAGTTCTTTGAGGATTTACCTAAAAATAAAAAGGTATTGTAAAGTTTATTCATAAAAATAACATAATTTATTCAAAATGAGGTCTTTGAAAAATCAAAGAGTAAATTTCATCAATAATTCAAGTAAATTATCTAATGACGGACAAGTAAAAGTACGGTTGCTTTGATAAAACCTTCACCTTTCAAAACAACTAATTTAATTTGTTTATTATGACATAATGGTAATTTTAATAATTATAATGCATATTAGGTTATTTTAACATGATCAAAATGTTTTTTTTTCTCATTAAGACCTTAATTCCAATTAGTTTGGGGTTGACTGGTATTTTTTGCAAGCCAAGAATTTTTACACCCAGTGGGCAGCCATATAGGACAAGCATGTTTGGTGATAGGCATTTGAACTTGCAGCCCTCAGATTGTGAGTCGAGCATCCTAACTACCAGGCTCATGATCAAAGTGTAAAACTTAGAAACTAAATATATCATAATTACGCAGTTTTGGCTCACCTTGGTTTCCGGCCCATAAGTCGGGCAACAAAGTCAAGCAGATGAGCTGGAATTAAATGGTGAATAAAGACATGTATCTGGTTCCAAACACGGTTACTCTTGAAACTTCCACCAGGATATCGCAACACTTCCCTACTTGGGTGTGTATATACTAAGGGAAAAACAATGGATTCCACTTCTCCCCATGATAAACGATTCTGAGAACCAGATGTACAGTTGTAAACCACAATGTTGTTTGGTCTGCAAGAAAGAAATAGAATAATGTTTAGAGTTGGTATAACATTTCTGAAGGTAGAATACAAGCACTATTATAAAATCCCTAACTTCCTCAATGTGTACTTATATATACCAGAATGCAAACGTTCCAGTAAAAGGCTCTTAAGTTGGCATAAAAGGATATTCTGCTAAAGGTTTGGTTTCTCAAATCAAAAATCTAATTTAGTACATGTAATCAAATTAAGCCCAACATTTAAACTAGTCTCATATATCTTGTACAAAGAAATAAGACTAAAATTGAAAATCAAATAAAAAATAATGAAAATAATATACATCTTTGTGTGGAAAGGACTTGGTTGATAAAAGTATCCAACTTCCTGGCTTAATTAATTAATTAATTATAATATTTATATTGGAAATTACAGAAAATGAGGCAGTAAAGGAAATGACTAGTGAAGATGTGTTCTGGGGTTGATTATTTTGAGAAATACACAGTTTGGTCACCAGGAGTTTTAAATTTAAAGAATAAAAATGTAAAAATATGCTTCTCTATGTTTTATTAAATATATATTTGAAAATGTCTGTTTATGTTAAACATGTTGTTATGTGTTCTATTATTAGATGGATTTTTCCAAAAGATTTTGTGAAAATAATGTGAAGTCCAGTCCATGTAATGATAATTAATTATTTCTTCTCTAACCTGTGCTACAGCCTACATTTTCTTTTTACACAAGTTGTAGGCCTGAGTTCACACAGTATCTTCACTTTCAGCATAAACTGTGATACCCACGTTACCAATGTCTGGTTTACGAATACAGAACTTACTTAAACTTTGATTGTCAAGTGGACATACCATACATATTAATATCTAAGATTGTTAAAAAATCATATTACATACAGCTAATATTAAAAATAAAGACATAACAATTTATTACAGTGATATCAAAAAACATTTCACTGCATTTAACAATAGTGTTAGCTTAAAATACACTAGAATATTACATTATTATACAGAATGACAAATATTAAAGAGATTAGAATATGTTAAAAAGCATCTTAAGTGTTTCAACAAATTATAACAGTGCTCAGTAGCATTACAAACATCTTACATTACCTATGTGTAGCTGTATACCATGCAACACAAACAATCAGTTTGATAACCACATCAACAGGTATGATGTCAGCAGTCCCACCTGGTCGACATAACATTGATCTTAAAACACCTTTTCCTGTCTGAAATTGTAATCAGATGAGAAATAAAAAGTGACAAGAAATCTAAAGCATTAAATTAGAGCAAACAAATCAAAATAGTCACATTTATCATTAAAAAAAATATAGTCTACAGTTAGCCTGTAAAGTTACCAACGTTCTACCATAAACATAATTTGGAAAAAAATGTACACTAGGGATAATACAAATAGCAGTTGTGGTTAGATATCACATTTCAGATGTCTGACTAGACTTTGATATTTTCAGATCTTATAGTAGATGTGGCCATACATATTGAAAATGTGCCACAGGCATGTCCTACCACTTCCTTATAATATAGCATTGAACTAGTTACTTTGTCATTGTTCTTTGAAACTTTATAAGGATATACACGAGGGTGTACAGTTTGGCATGAGCAAGTGGCAGTTGTATGCCCTTTGAGGGCACGTGGTGACATGAGACTGTGTTACCCCACACACGCCCATCGAGAATGTTGTTTGGATTGTGTTTGCCATTTTTGTTGTTGCTGTTGCTACTCTGACTTTCTGTGGCAGTACAACTGGTAGGGGTGATGTTTTTCTAACTATGTAATAACTATCCATATTATGACTACCATGGCTCCCACCCTTTTGCTAGAGGAAAAGCTACTATGTTTAGAATCTGGTAGAAAACATCATATGGTAAAATACCTGTTATGAATAGCTCACATGCAAGTAGTATAATGTCTTGTAACATTGTCAGATAACCACTGATAGAAATACTATATAATTATCTGATTCCATGCAAACTTAATACATAATCACATCCGGTTTAATCTGATTTGGATCAGATATTTGTCCCATCTTTACTATGCCAACAGGAAACTAATACCAACACTTTAAACCAACAAATATGATTTTCCCTCCACTAAAGAAACAAAGAAGACAGATTTTGATGAACCTTAGAAACATGAAATTATATTAGAAAAATCAAATATTCATTCTATATTAAAGAAAGCTAATGAAGTATGACTTTTTTTTTTTTATAGATATACAACATACTAAAAGGAAAAAAATATCATTTGCCTGTTACATAGAAGATTTTATACTTTGTTCAAAACCTAATAAACCTTATAGAAATGGTTAAATTTATTTAGGTGCTAACAATTATCTTCAAATTTTTGTAATCTAACCTAAATATATTTTATGCAAATAAAGTTTTTAATATTCAAAATTTAACTTGGAAACTAGCATGATCAAATTAGATTTAAAAGAATACATTACATGTCAGTTATTATGGTACCTAACACCTCATGCCAACAAAGCATGATCTATAGATTAGTGATTCTTGTTATATTATATTAAAATAAGAGAAATAATGATTTTAATAAATCTTTCTTTACTGGCCCTTAAAAAAGAATGTAATAGCTTTTCGACCATACATCTCATGTACTGCATACTGCTGCCAATGAGACCTTTTACTTAATACCAGAGCTTATCAGGTCACTTGGTATGCAACACACATAGCTTTGGTTGAAATGCTACTTGTATCAGTTATTTATAAAGTATAAATTATTATGGTATATAACACTTTACACAAGCAAAGCCTAATCTGTGGATCAATAATTTGTATGACATTACATGACAACAAAAACTGATCACAATTTTCAACAAGTATTTCTTTACTGGCCCTAAACTGGTTTCCAGAAAGGAGAATATAAAAGTATCTCACTTCTGGCAAAGAAAGACTTATTGAAAATACTATCAGTTTTATTGTGATATAATGTCACACAAGCTGCCAATTAGTAAATTGTATAATTATATAATATTCAAAAAATGGAATTTACAAAATATGGTAAGATGTTTTATATTTTGTCAATTTATTTTTAACTTTACTTATCACACCTCTTAATCTATTTTAATCTTTCAGAATGAAGGCTAAAATATCACATGTACACACTTACAGCTACGATAAGGCCAGTAGGTCCATTAAAATTGTCAACCCAGCCCTGAAAGACAGAAACTGTAGTGTATAGCTTAGATATCATCATTAGTTAGTCATTTCTATTAAAAAATCTTCAATGCAACTCAATCTTTACAAATATCATACTCTTGCAATCATAATAACAAGCATTTAAGATGCATACATATACAAAAACACATTTACATGAAACATATATACATTTATCAGAACAATCTTTCTACAAATTTAGATACTCAAACTTCGATATGACAATCCCCTTAAAACAGTTAATTAAATTTTGTTATAGGACACATTTTTTTAAACATGGTAAGTTCCCTTATATGATAATCTTTATAATACAAAAGAAAAAATAAACAAAACTCTTCCGAATATACAAGAAGATTGAGAAAGTTTTAAAAAGTGGCCAAGGTTATTAAAATGATGCTGTCTAGTTTATCAACTCACTGGGAATGGTTCCTTCCATGCTGCAGTAACAATAGAGGGTCTGACAATCGCCACAGGTAGACTGCCACATTCCTCTACAAGAAGATTTTCAGCAAGAGCTTTAGTGTATGTGTATGTATTAGGACGATCACCCAGAAGTTTTGGTGTGATTGATGCCACCATTTCTTCATCCATCCATCTAAGAGACCAAGTTAATATTTGCTGAAACATTCATAATATTTGCATATTTAATTCTGCTTTCTATTTGTAACTCAGTATCTCTGATATACACCCGAGCTAGTTATTATAAACCAAGTATTAAATTCAGAGCAGCTATTCTTTAGATATATATAAATATATATGAACAATTAAGTTAAGGCCTAAACTGTTTTCCAGTAAAAAGAATATAAAAGTATCTCACCCATTTTTCAATGCTAAACTACAGAGCCTGTGAAAATAAACAGAAAATTAAAAGTATAATCTGTTACAAGGTTACTCTTGCCCTTCATTAGCACATCCAGTTAATCATAGACTGGCTTGTGACTGTATCAAAAATCTGTAGCTTATAGGCACTAATTTCTTTAAGATTTTCTTTCATACATGCTGTTAACAACACAATAATATCAGTACACACATATGCTTATAAATGTAAACTATATAATACCGCTAGTTTAGGGAGGTAACATGTTTGGTGGTAGCACTTTAACTGTATCATTGACTCTTCAGCTACATCAGTGTTTAAAAAAACCTTTCACAAACGACTTGAATTCACTAATTAATGCCCTATTTTAAAAGTATATAAATTCAGGTGTTATTAAAAGTATTGTGAAAAATCCAGTTGATAAACTTCTGGAAGTATTTTTACACACTTGTTGGTCTGGAGAGTTATAAATGACACAGCAAAAGCATCACTACCACCACCCATATCCTTTCAAATAAAGATATAATTTATGTAGTCAGAAGTCTTTTCCAGGATTTATTACATTAATGCTCAAAGTTTCTCTATGACTGATTTTTTCATTTAACTACATGCACACATTAAGAGTGACCTGTTATTAGTACTGATAAAATAGGTCAATAGTAACTATGCCAGCTTCTGCTTAAAAAAGGGGTTGGTAATAATCATGCCAAATACTGCTCACAAAAGGAATTAAGAGTAAAACGTCAGTTTCTTGAGTTTATTCTTCCAGTATACTCTAAAATGCGCTGAAAATACTCACTCTAAAGCATCTATAACTTTTTGTGGGTTTGCTGGAGGGGGATATACTATTTCATCCACTTCATCTCTGTCGCAGTTGCAATATGCTGTGGAAACATGAATCAGTGCCTACAAAAGTAATACGTTACTGTTATTTGAAAAGTGAATAACTGGCTGTGTTCAGTGAATTAAAATTATTATAGCACAAATACACATATTGCTTGCATTCTAAGCTTTCATTTTACACTGGCAGCAAGAACTATATACCTAAAATCCAACTTAGTTCCAAGATCAGTAAACTTTAAGTATATTAACAACTTTCCTTTTGAACAACAAAGCTCATAATAAATTTAATGATATATATATAAATGGTGTTACAAAGGTACAAAATGATTTGCTAGATATCCATTAACATATAGTGCACAATAGTCTTTCCTAAGTTATTTAGTTCCATTGTTGTTAATATTTTGGGGGTGGGAAGGAGTTCATCAGGTCAGTGTTTCTCAACCTTTCCTTTGAGAGATTTAATGAAAACAAACAAAACTGACAGAATATTCATATATAAATCAAAATGTTTCTTCATTGAATTTCCATTTTAGTGGCTTGCAACAGTTTAGGGAGGCAACGACCTGGTATCGAAAAGGTAAAGAAATGCAATTCTAGGTGGTAATAATACAATTTATTTTCATCGCCTTTAAGCAGGATCTTAACCTTGGACCACTGCAAAGTAAGTGCTCAAACAACTGAGCTAAAGGGTTAAAACATTAGAAATTGCTAGTAAAGCCTTTTTGAGCAACTCAAACTACAAAATTCTTCACCTCTGACAAAAAAGGTCCATCCTTGGACTTTATCTCAGAGTTGTGAGAGGAACATTATTTCGAGTCCAGTTTTTTAGTAATCCAAGTATCTTGTATTTTCATGATTTGGAATCAAACCTGAGATGGATTAACCCACTAGCTAATCCTCGTAAGACATTTTAAAAAACTGTTTTTATTTTTGTTTTTCTTTGCTTAAAGAATAGAAAATATTATGAAAGAAAACAGTTTTTCCTTTGTTATTTCTAAACACCACCACTAATATTGTTTAACTTTACCTTATGTTGAATGATACAAGTGGTTAGGAGAACAATATTACAAATTGATAAGTCAAAAAGAAGACTTTTCTCTCATTAATAAAATTAAAAGTATGATCCATCAATCATAATCTGTTTCAAGATTACATTTGATCACACTCTCTTAACATTTCCAAAAATCTATTTTTGCAATGTCAGAAAAGTTAAACTCACCACCAAATGAGGCATCTTGTGACAGAGTTCTACAAGTCTACGTGTGCCTAAAATATTCATCTCTACTGAACGCCTGAAAAAATACAACATTGAAGTTTGCAAGGTCTAATATCAAATATATGAACTTCTTAATTCAAACTATACCATTATTTAATGTTGAATATAATTAATTTTAGGAAATTATAAGTATAAATGATTAACAAAACCAAAGAAGACACTATTTACACAAACAAAAGGTTGACATTTATGGTTTTACTGACTAAGATTTAGCCAACTTTAAAAGTGGAGTGGAGACCAATTTTTCTTTCAAAGTCTTGAAAGAATGCTGGCAAGAAACTGTCCATTCAAACTTCTTTGCTCCACTACATGATTTGACTAAAAAAGGCCGCTATAGTTGCAAAGTCCTTCACAAACTTCTGGTAATAGGTATAGAGTCCCAAGAAACTTCTTAACTCTCCTACATTGTCTGGTGTTGGCCAGTCACGCACTGCTTTCACCTTGTCAGGATCAGTTCGCACACCATGCTCACTTAAATCTCACTAAGTGAAGCACCTCTTTCTGGAACAAGTGGCATTTATTGGGATGGAGTTTGAGGTATGCTGCTTTCAAACGCTTGAATACTTCCTCTAACCGGGACATTTCCTCATCAAAAGTTGTTGCAAATACAATGACATCGTCCAGGTACACTAGGGCTATCCTCTATTGTAGGCCTTCCAATACTCTTTCCATCAGCCTTTCAAATGTTGCTGGAACATTACTAAGCCCGAATGGCATCACTCAGGATTGCCAGAGACCTTGGTAATAACTAAATGCTGTCTTGGGTCTATCGGTCGGAAACTTCGGTTGGCCAGTGGATCTGTTAACAGGACGCCACCTTATGAAGAGTTGCCTGAGAATGTGTCAGAGTTTGTGAAAGTGTTATCGGAAAGGATGGATGATATTCACCATCAAGAGCGTTCAAACTTGAAAACGTCTGCTGATTCGATGAAGTTAACTTATGATAAGAGATCTACTGAAATTAGCTTTGTACCAGGAGACAAGGTATGGTTATATAATCCCAGGAAGACCAAAGGGAAGTCTCCTAAGTTGTCTTCTCCATGGGAAGGCCCATATGACATAGTGGATCGTCTCTCAGACGTGACTTTCCGAATTAAATGTGGTCGGCGAGGTAAGCCAAAAGTGGTGCATGCCAACAGGCTTTGGCGTTATCACGGTCAAGGACATTTCAGTTGGGACGAAGTGAGCAACAGAACAAATGACGCTGCTGAAGACGTGTCACCTGAAAAAGCCACTGTCGAAGAAGAAACTCAAAGCAAACTAAAAGCAAGTATTTTGCGCCCTGCTTGGGAGAAGGTGCGGACGATGCTGGCATTCTTCAGTCGCTGAGGGATTTGCTCCGTGTCCCATATACTCTGGAATAGTTCAGTCAATTTCCGAATGAGAGCGTGTCCCCGCATTTAAACACTTCCGTCGGAATACCGTCCGATCCTGGAGCTTTCCCGCTTGACGTGCAGTGGATTGCTCCTTTCACTTCCTCTTCCGTTATAGGACGCGCGCGATTCTCATTGATATCTATTTGAGGTAGGCGGTCAATGGCATACTGGATTAGGTTTCCATCAAGTAAAAATGGCTGAAGCAAAACATCAACTTTGCTGGAGAGTATCCAGTGGTTTCATGCTCTGCTGTCCTATAGGCCATCAACAATGGAGGGAGTAAGACATCCCAGTCATCTTGGTGGCTATTAC